TATACGGTTTTCGGCTGCTATGTGGCTATTTTGCCAGGATATGAGTTTTATCAATGGTGTCCCGCTTTACCAATGTTAAAATCTGGTCACCTTATCCTAGGGCGGGGGGCCACTGCAGGGAGAGTGGCCGGGAGTAGGCTGAGAGGAGGATCCTGGAGCCAAGGTGTTGGTGGACGGGAGGCTCCAGGGCGGAGCAGGTACACCAGGGGTGCTGAGGCAGTGCCGGAGAGTTTGTGGGTAAGCCGGACATGGCTAGAGCCTCCAACTGTTCTAGTGATCTCGCGGGCCCTCAGCTCTGTACAGAGAGAGCGTGGGCCGCCAGAGGGGACAGCGCCACCTCCTGCTGGAGGAACTCTATCAGATCCTGAAGTTTGAAAGATACCAGGGCTGCAGACAAGCGTGAGTACCTTCTGCCCTGAGACTCCTGAACAGGAGGGAGGGGCCCAGTCTTGGATGGCAGCCCTGCAGCTCCGCTTCTGACCCCACATCCCTCATCACTGGCCACAGGGACTCAGAATTTGTCCAGCCCCACCCTTCATTTGTGTCCTGGCCTTGCAGCTAGCCTCTGGAAGGCCAGGCAGCTGGGGCAGACCTGGGTCTTGGGTTAGGCTTGGGCCTGGGATCCTGGCCTGGGGTCTGCCAGTCCGAGGACCCTGGGTGTCAAAGCTGCAAGTGGCTGCCCAGGCACTGTGGTTGGCAAGCGCCCAGCAAAGTCCCGTCAGTGGCCAGAGCTGCCGGTCAGGAAGAGGCAGGAACAGAACCCAGGCCTCTCCTTCTCTTTCTTGTCCACACTCTCCCCTCCCCATCCCGACTCCTAGAACCTCCTCCACCCCCGGCCAAGACCATATGAGACCAGAGTATCATTTCATCATTTATTACAAATAGAAGTTCGCCGGTAAATAATTGAGCGTCTACAAAAATACATTAAAATAAATAATTGAGAGTCTCAAAGTTCTTATAGCCAATAAGTTATGTACAGATGGTCGAAGGGAGCAAACTTTCCCACCAGGAATGTTCTTCGGGTTGAGGGTAGAGGTGTCGGGGGCGGGGCAGGGAGGACACCAGCCCTGGGGAAGGGGCTCCCATCCAGCCTCCAGGGCTGACGGGCATGAGTGGCCACCTGCTGCAGAGCCACTCGGCTTTGCTGGCCGGCAGACAGGAGGCCCCGAGGGCCGTGACCTCCAGGAGGTTCATGTGTGGCCCCCAGGTTTGTTTTGCAGAGCTTCTGGCCCAGGAGCCGGGGCTGGAGGTGGCCCGGCAGTGGGGGCATAGAGCTTTCCTGGTCACGTGAGTACGTGGAGCTCCCTAGTGGGGGCTCTCTCACCAAAGCAAGGAGTCAAGGTTTGTGCCAATCCCAGTGAGCGAGTCCAGCTGGCTGCCACCAGAGTTTTGTCCCCAGGAAATAGGCAGAGGGTCTCCCACAAGCCTTGGGCTGCCCCTCTCCTCGTGTCTCCATGCGGCTTCCTCCACAATGACCCTCTGGTGCCCAGCGCTATCTCTTCCTCCACCGGGGAGGTGTAAGCCTGGACTCCCTCCTTGTCTTCTGCTGTCTCCTGGCAAGGTGGGTCTTGGCAGGAAAAATGCTCCTGTGAATCAAGAAGTGTCCACTTAGCATCTTGGGAGATAACACCTTCATGCATGGCTTCAGTGAGGGGTGATGGGGCTGGGATGCTCCTGATCCTGGGAAGACCATGGCTGCTTCGGGGTTGGAAGAGAGGAGACCAGCTTCTCTGACAAATGTGCACCAGAGCCTAATGTTGCTGGAAGGGTGGCCAGGACAACCCCATGCATCGCCCGCAACCTGCCATCCCTCTCTGTGCCTTTGCGAATGTGCTGCCTTCCGCCCTGTATATCTTTCCTCTACTGACACTCTACCTGTTCAGCTCAAGGCTGCCTTTCCTGACTGGTCCGGACAAGTGTGGGCCCCAGGTTCCTCTCTGAACTTGAGCCCCAGGTCCCATTTTAGTGGCCACATCCTAGCTCAGTGAGCTGAATCCTGGGCGCCCTGAGGCTGGTCTCTCTTCCTAATGATGGGGACCTGGGAAGTAGCAGGCCACATGCTTGAGATCAGTGATGTGAGGGTGGGGCCAGGCCCACCTGGCAAGCTCTGCACACTGGGAAGCACTGGGTCCTTGTGGGGTCCGATTCTGGTTATTTCTATCCTGCGACAGTGCCTAAGACCATGGCTGCCCTGCCCACCTCACCTTCCTGCTTTCCCTTCATTTTCCAGCCTTGTCTCAAAGACAGAAGCCCTAGAGCTGCAGGGCTGGCCTGAGGGGCCACCAGGAGCAGCAGGGCCCGGATGACTGGGGCCTGCTGCCAAAGCATCAAATCCTTCCCAAAATTCCTGAGAAGGACAACACCAATGCCCCTGCTTTAAAACTAGGGAACGGAGGCACAGAGAAGTAATGGGCCATGTCCAAGCTCACACAGTTTGCGTGTGGCAGGCTGGGGTTTCAGCCAGGCTGTGTCTGGAGGCTCTCCATCGTGGACTCGGGGCCAGAGAACGGGTTTCTGCTCTCAAGTCAGCTAGAGCAAGCAAGGGTTCGTGGGCACCTACTGTGCGTCAAGCCTTGAACCGAGTCACACCGATGCCACCAGGGTCTGGGGCCCCAGGGAGGAGCAGGCTGTTCCCCAGCAAGTAGGGGTGCTTGATTTAGGCCCAGCCTGAATGAACATCGGTGAGTTCCACAGGCTTGAATTCTCTAGCACCCCGGTTCTCTCAGAGAGTCCCCTTCCAGGCCCAGTGGTCACCAAGAGCTTTGTGGTTCAGCGCACAGTCTCTGGAGTCAGCAGCCAGATGCTGCTGTGCAACCTTGGGCAAGTACCTTTACCTCTCTGGGCCCATCCTGCCTTTTTTGTTGGCTCACGTGGGAACAAAGGAAAGGCACGAAGCTCGCAGCAAGTGCTCCCACCCCCGCACCCCCTCTGCCCAGAGCAGGCACTGCTTACCTCAGCCACTGGGCATGCTCTCCTCCGGAGCCCCCAGGTCTTGCCAGCCTGGACCGTGCCACCAGGGCACCCACAGCAGGGTCTTGCCTCGGCTTCAGCCCTGGATGAATGGCATTGGGGCCTGAGTGAGGGGCTGCAGGGCCCTGATGCGCCTGGCTGCCGCCCAGCCCAGCCCCCACCCTGGCTGCCCTCAGGAGCAGGTCTTTTTCCACCCTGTGCACCTGGCACCTTTCCTGTCCAGGAGGGGTGGGGACTGAGGAAAACTGAGCTACCGGGAATGCCTACTTGGCCTTAGACAGGCAGCTGGGTTGCCAGCCTTCCCAGAATCGAGCCACCTGCAGCAGAGCCCAGCCCTTTGGAGGGGAAACTGAGGCAGGGGTGGAGTCACACAGGGGGAGTTTCTCATAAACTGTCATAGGGCATGGAGTCTTGGGGGCGGGGGTGTAGTGAAGTGGGTTTCTGTTTGCCCTAAATGCTGCACGTGGAGGAAGGACAGGGCAAAGTCCATTCCCAGGTGGGAATACAGAGGCCCCCACCACTCAGTAACATCCCTGAACCAGGGCAGGGGCTCCCAGCTGCACGTGTCACTTTGTCCCTGGGCCTCAAGCTGGAATCCCAAGTGTGGTGGGCTTCTCAGACAGACTAAGGTGCGGCTCAGCTCCACTTCCGGTTAGCTGTGTGACGGGCCGGGATGGGGCCCCTCCCCACTCTGGGTCGGGGGGAAGCCTCAGTTGCTATCAGGGGAGAGTCCTTTCTGCCTAGGAGTGGGGTGTGTGTGAATGGTCTCAGAAGTCCCCTGCTGGACAGTGGTAGGGACTTGGGGTTTCTGGTTCCCTGCAGAAAGGGGTGTCACCCACACGCCCCAGGCAGCTTGTGGGTCCCTAGCACGCTGCTTGCCTGACCCCCACCCTACTTCTCTGTGGAGTAGCAGCTGCCCTAGCCCTTGCAGGCTGGGTGCCCACCTACCAGGTCTTCGATAGCAGAAGGTGGCACAGGCGGGGTCCCTGGCACTGGTGCACTCACAGCGCTTTGGCAGGGAGCGGCGCCAGCGTCTTGGCGGGTTTCCCAGTCCGTACGGAGCTGTCTGTCTGTGGGCATGCAGCCAGCAAGGTAGTGTGGGTGGGGAGAGGAAGAGAGAAAAGAGAGGATTAGATAACCCACGGCCATTGGTGAGCTGGGCTGTCCACATTGCACACAGGGCATCCAGCCATGCCACTAGGGGGGCAGTGAAAGGTCACCTGCCCCTGGCCTTCAGAAGGCCCATCCACACTCCACAGGTACAGCTCAGGAAGTGCTCCCAGCCGGGAGAGGAAAGCGGGTAGGTAGTGTGGCCCCACCCTCAGCTGGGGAATTGAAGAGGCCCCCTAACCCCTCCCCCTTTCAGACAGAAGTGAGCTGCTGGAGGCAAGCACAGCCTCTAGCTAGTTCGAAAAGCCTCCTTTTCCCCTAGCCCTGGCAGCAGGGAAGGGGGAAGTCATCAGTCCATTCCACGGAAGTACAAGCTGCTTCGCCCTGTGACCTGCCTGCCTGGAGGGGTCCTAACGTGCCCGGGGGCTCTGACTTTAAAATGTGCCCCTGTGTTGGCAGTGACTGCAGATGCTCAGTCTGGTCAAGGTAGGCAGGGGGCAGGGCAGGGACCTGGTCGGCTGGACCAGCACCTGCGGGTCCCAGAGCTAATTTTAGATGATGTGTTGGGGTTGTAATGACAAGAGGCAGAGCCAGCACGCTGGGACTGGCAGGGTTCCCGCCCTGAGCGAGGGTTTGGATGTGGATTAGCTCCACACACGCTTACGTGCAGGGCTTCTCTTGCCTTTTGCAATTTGCAGAAGGAATGAAAAAAAAAAAAAAAAAAAAAAAAAAAAAAAAACCCCCCCCCCCCCAACCACAGACACACACCCACAAACACAGAAACTGCAACTGGAGGTATGCAGAGGCCTGGAGGCAGTGCAGGGCCGGGGAACAGACAGCGCTGGCCCCCCACCCCAGCCCGCCAGGTGACACAGGCAGGCTTCTCATCTGTCATCTGGAGACAACAGCAGTGCCTGCTTCAGGGGGTGCCGGGTGTGTGTGTGCATGTCATGATAACAGCATGCAGGACTCGCACAGGACTTGGCACAGCCCAGACATGGGCGCTGTCCTTGGCTGAGGTATTCTTGGATGGCGGGACGGAGGCAGCGTGGCAGAGTGGGTGTGGGCTCACCTATCGTGCCCTCTCACTTAGTCCTTCCTGTGTGATCCTGGGGAGAGTACCTAACCTCTCTGTTCTCAGTGCTCAGCTCTGGAAATCGGGGCCAACCCTTTGCAGACCGGCTCTTGAGAGAATTTCCTAGAGACCCCCTTCTAAGTGTCACTGGCTTGTCAGCAGGCCCCCTGCTGCTTCCCCACCCAGTAGCCCCACCTGACTCCCCAGTGCAGCTCACCCCGGGGTGTTCACCCAGATGATGTCCAGGTGGCAGAAGTAGACACACTCCTTGTCCAGCCAGGAGCTGCAGGAGCACCGCCGAGGCCGCAGGTGGGCGCCCCAGGCCCGGGAGGAGTGCGCAGGCTGCTCGGGGCCCACGGGGGTCTGGCCCTGGCCTGCACGCACAGTGGGGGAGAGAGAAGGGGAGAGGTGGGTCAAGGCGCCTGGGACTGCGGGGCAGGGGGATATCCTGGCCCCCTCCTCTTGCATAATCGAGGAAGTTGGCACTGTCCCTGTTGGAGAACGCTGCGCCAGCCGGAGGAAGCCCCAGAGCCCCGCGGGACGGCCCAGTCCCGCGCCACGGCCCGTGCTGCTGCGCCTTTGCACCAACAGAGCCCGGCGGCCGCCACTGGACTCCCGCCCCCGGACGTCTCAGCTGGTTCGAGGGCACCGCGGCCCCGGGGAAGACCCCGACGAACAGCCCCAGGGGTCTCAGCGGCGGGCGAAGCCAGGGCGGCTCACCTTGGTGCAGGGCCATCAGCAGGGCCAGAGCGATGGAGCACCAGGCAGTGGGCGCGGCGACCATGCTGGTGGCTGGCGATCGCTGGCTGGACGGGGCCGGAGCAGGGAGTGCGAGTTGCCAGCCTCCTGCTGCGGAATGAGCCAGCCTGTAGCTCTCTGCCTTGGTGCCCGCTGCTGCCGCTTATTATAACAGCGCGCGCCCCGCCCCTGCGGGCCCAGCCCAGCCTGGCTGCACCAGCGGGCAGGGCGCCAGGGACCCGCCTCCTCCTGGGGCACCCGGCCCGCCCAGGCCTCTGAGGGAGGCAGTTGCGGAGGGGGGTTGGGGGGATACCTTGCTCCCACTCCCTGCTCCTCCCTTTTCGCCAGAGCAGTTCGTGGAGTCCGGAGATTTTCCTGCAGCACCTAGGGCCTCCCGTGCAATCCCACGGGGTTTCCCAAGTCACCCCCAAAATGCCCCAAGTCCCATCCTCACTTCTCCCTCTGGGTGCTCAGGGCTGAGAACTTGGGACTCAGTGAGGGCCCCATGTGCACCAACATTCACTGCTCCTTGGGGGAGCCTCTCCTGATGTTGGGTAGTGACAGCCGTGCTCAGGACTGTGTGGCCTGTGGGTGAATCAGCCCCCCTTTGGGCCTGCTTTCTTCAGCGGAGGTTGGCACCTCTCATCTATCTGGAGCGGTCTCACCCCTAGCTCACCCAGAAACCACCCCTTATCCCCTTGCCCTGGGCCTGGACCCTGTCAGAAGCTACCTAGCAGTGCAGCCAGGGGCAAGGGCACACCCCTGTGCCCCAGTTTCCTTGTTTGCAAAACGAAGGCAAAGTGAAGGATTGTGTATCTGCTTGGCTCACAGGTTCCCTTGACACAGAAGGCAGCTACAGGGCTTTTTCCAAAAGATGGCTCTGTGGGCACACACGTGAAGTGTCCCTGGAGTGACCTCCTGACTTGGCATTTGCATGTGGTAGAATGTCTTGGTTCACCTCGGTGGCTACTTTCTGCAGAAGAGGTGTGTGTGTGTGTGTGTGTGTGTGTGTGTGTGTGTGAGACCCCTGGGGCTGGCATTCTGCTCCTACCCCCTTGCTGGTCTAGAAGCCAGGCTTTGAAGGGGTCAAGAGCGGGCACTCTGGAACTGGCAGTCATCTTCTGCCCCTGCCAGGCCTGCCTCCGAACGTCCCATCCACCCAGGGTCTTCTTAGGAACCAGATGCAGCAGGAAATACCCCCTAGCCCCCAGACCTCAGAATGCCCAGATCCTGCCTCTCTTTTGTGCCTGTTTAGCTGCCTGGCTGTTGAAGCCTGGACTCTGGGGTGCATGCCCCAGGGCTCATATTGAAGCCTGCCTGGCACACAGCAGGAGCTTGGGAGGGGTCTGGGCGGGAGGGGTGAACACATGTCTGGCTTGGAACCATGGACACGAGTTCGCTGGGAACCCAGGCTGCTTGATTGGCAGTGTCTGTACCCAGCCTTCAGCAGCGCTACCATTATTCAGGATTTATGAGGGGAGAAGAGATGCCCAGAAAGAAACGAACAGATTTTCATCCTCCCAAAGTGTCTTCAGAGTACACGTGTGTGCATGCATGTACAGTACATGCCTGTGCACAAGTGTGTGCATGTACCTGTGTGTGAAATCCGAGTAAAGCCCCACTATGGCCGATGAGGGAAGGGAGGCTTGGAGAATGGCAGCTAGACAAGGATCTTGGTCTCTCCAGCTGGGCCCCGGTGACTCCCCCTGTAGTGCTCCCTGCCCTCCTCCCTGCCGCTCTAAGAATTTAGAAGCGTGGACCTGAGATGAGGTGAGCAGATCTCTCCGGGCTTTCAATTGGCCTTGCCGAGCATATTAATACGGCCATAAACAGGGTTGGGGGGGCTGGAGGGGCAACGTGGACATAGAATTGAAATACTGAGCCCTTGCAGAGAAAAATGGAGGGAAAGCAGCTTGTCAGGGTGGGGAGAAAGCAAGCAGGGGGCTGATAAAGCCCGTCGGTCTGGAGAGAGAGCAAGAACAAGGAAGCAGCGCGTAGCCAGGAAGAAATAACTCGGATTTGAGAAAGTAAAAGAGAAAGAGCAGAGGGAGTCAGAGCGAAGCTTCTAACGTGTCTAATCTTTCCACACATGCAAACGGCCTGCCCAGGACAATAGGGAACCAGAGGCTTCAAGTCTAGAGAACATAATAGGAGAATTAGACAGGCCAGGGACAGGCTCCCTCCCTGGTGTGAAAGAGGATGACGACAGGGCAGGGGCCTCTGCCGGCCTGGCCGGCTCAGGCGGAGCTGCTTTTGCGCTGACCCAGCTCTGGTTCCCCTCACCCTGCCCTGCGCTCCGGCTGGGACTGGGAAACAGAGAGGCCTGACCCTGGAACTTGAGCGAGCCCAGGTCTTAGTGGATGAAATCATTCCGGGAACAGTGCTACTCCGCTGGCTAGAGTTGGTTTCCAGGTAGGGAAGTTAAGCTGAGTTAAAAATAGCTGGGCCCAAGCCCCCTGCTCCACCGGCTCTGCCAGCCAGCAGCACCCTCCTCTGGGGCCTGACGGGTATGCCTGCGCAGGGATGGATGCCCCAAGAAGCCAGCTGAGCATGGGCATACCTGTGCTTGCTTACAATTTCATGCGGCAGGGACTGGAGATTTGCAAAGAGGCTTTGATTCGGTAGGAAGGTGCTGTGGGGCTTGGAGAGAGACGGGTACTAGGCCTACCTAGAAGCAGAATATTTGATGTGCTGGGAAATAAAAAGGGGGAAATTGTTCAGTAAAGATGAGTAAATAAACACAAGTAAACCCGTGCTGACCTTGCTTTGGGGGACATCTGACACTGCTTCTGACCTCCACCAGCTGCCCACTAGTGCCCTACTGAACCCCACTCCCTGGCTGCCTGGCTCCGTAAAGAATGCAGGCAGAGAGGCAGGGTACCACTGGAGGTGAACTCGCCCTGCCTGCATCTGGAAGGAGTGGTTTTGCGCATAAATTAATTCGCTTGTGTTAAAGCCCTGGGCTGCCAACCTTCGAACCTCGCTTCTGCTCCACAGGAGGAAGATGTGACAGCCTGCTTCCGTAAGGACTTCCAGCCTTGGAACCTCGGTGGGGCAGCTCTGCTCTGGCCTGCAGGGTCACTATGAATTGGCATGGACTTCACAGCGATGGACTGTGTTTGGAGGGTGGCGTCCACTCTGAGGCACCTCCGAAGAAAGGCCTGGTGGCTGACTTTTGAAAGACCAGCCGTTGCAAACTCTGGGGGTACTGTCCACTCCGACGCACCTGGGGTTGCCGGGAATTGGAGTCTGCTTGATGGCGGCTCGTACTTATTTATTTTCAGTGCTTGGTACCAGCTCGGTCCAAGGAGAGCTTTGGGTGGATGCAAGGCTGGCAGCCGAGAGCTGTTTGGATGTCTTTCTGGGTGAGATGCTGGGCTGAGCAGCTTCGGGAGGAATTCTAATCTTCACTCCCACTGGTGGCTGAGAACATGGAGGTCCCAAGAGGATGGGCAACATGCTGGCAATAATGATGGCATGGGTACATGCAGGTGCTCTTGGCTGTTATGCCAGGTTTGCCCCTGTCCACATCCCACTGAGACTGAGACAGAGCTCCTACTGCAAGGAGCCCAAGGGCAGGCTGCTGGCAACGGGGAGAGAATAGGGCCATCTCCCTGCATGCCCCTTGGGCCCCTCTGTAGCCCCTACACTCAGAGTCATGATGGGCCCACCCATGGAGCAACTGTCCAGGAGCAGTGGCTGCTGCCCTGGATGCAGGGGCCCTGAGGGGGGGGCAAATGGCCTGCTGATATTGCTCCCCAGTGCAGGGGTGGGACTTGGGGCAGGTGCCTGGTGTCCCAGTCAAGGCCCTGGACCAGGAGGCCCTGTCTCAGCTCTGTTATCTGTGCGGTGTAACCCTTGTCATTTCGGTCCCTTCCCTGGCCTCTGTTTTCCAGCCTTCCCATTGACTGTCAGAGCTGACCCGCTTGGCTGACTGTGTACACAGTCAGAATCCCTTGGGGCTGTGTTAACAAGCCCCCCCTCCCTGCCACAGACTCCGTGGCTCTGTCCCTCCCAGGCCCAGCTTGGGTACCTCTGTGCTCTTCCCCCTGGGCAGCCCATTGTTTCCTCCTCGCCTCGGACACCACCACTTTCAGGAAGTTCTGTTTTCAGCTGTGTTGGGAAGAAGGACGTGGAGTCTGGGTTGCAGGCACGTCCTGTGCAGGCGACTTAGCGGAGCGAGTCCACGGGAGAGGGGTTGGCCCAGGGAGACACCTTAGTCCAGAAGCTGGCCTGGGCGGGGGCTTTCGGGGCCGAGGGGGCTCAGACTTTGCTGCAGCCTGGACCTGCCCCCACTTGGGCCAGGGCCATCAACCTCGGGTCTTCTTTCTGGAAGGTAGCTTGGGCTCCTGCCATTGGCCACAGCTCACCCTGAGCCAGTAGGACCTGCCCCCACCCCCACCATTGTCCCCACGCTGGGTCTGGCCAAGGACAGCCTCAGCTCCCCAGGTCTGACTGTTTGCTCTCAGAGGACATCTCCGCGAGTCCTCCTCCCTCCAACTCAGCTGATTTGGGAAGATTTATATCTCCCACATAAACTGCACTTACAAAGAATAACTCAAGGGCCCTCTTTGTGACGAAGCTACGTGTGATCCGAACAGGGTCGGCGAGGCCCACAGAACTGCTGGCATTCCGGGCGAGAGCAGTCGCTGTTCCAGGAAGGCCCCCCTTCTCAGGAGGTCACGTGAGTCCCACTGGGCGTTTTGAAATGAATAATAATGGCGATAAAAGCAAGAAACACCTCAAAGCCTCCGCATCCCCGGGAGGGAATCATCTTTGGACTCAAAGTTTTTGAGTTACACCTAAAGGGCTAGGGTCCAATTCCCCACTTTGCTTTTGAAATGTGTGTGTGTGTGTGTGTGTGTGTTCGGGAGGGGGGTTGGGGGGAGGAGTGTAGGGTGAGCAAGCATTTATTGAGCACTTACTATCGTCTAAACGCTGCTGTGCTGAGCTATTTGCACACAGGATCCCGATGGGCCGTCATCACCTCCCCTTCCCCTGCCCCTGACGTGGATCCTGCAGCCCCCATTTGATACGGGAGGAAGC